TTTGAATGTTGTACATGATGTACAGCTTTATTATTATTACTTACCACGGTCAGTATTAGATTGAAAAAAACAAGTCAATTGACACACTGGTTAGAAAAAAAAGTCAAAAGAGTCATTTGAGAGTTCAGACTACGCTTTAATAGATGAGATTTTTATTCATTGTCCATGGCTTGGTGTTTGCAGGAGATTGGCCGGATATCCATTGAGATGAATGGAACTCTAGAGGATCAGCTGACCCACCTCAGCCAGTACGAGCAGAGCATCATCGAATACAAGCCCAACATCGACCAACTGGAGGGAGACCATCAGCTCATTCAGGAAGCACTTATCTTTGACAACAAATACACCGCTTACACTATGGAGGTATGCATACACAAAACATGCTTTCATCATGTCAAATCTACGTGAGAAACACAGACAGGGCTCCTGCATGTCATGAAATTTGTAAAAATTTAATTGAATGTGGTCTCCTGTCATGGTAAAGGTCTATTCCAGGCATTGAAAGTCAGGGATTTTTTTGTTGCCATTTTTACTTCCAATTTATAAAAATATAGTTTTTCTGTAGTGTGTTTTTTTGCTCATTATTTAATTCATGTTTTGACTGCCACTTTGGTTAGGCTATTCTTCACTGCCGTTTTACTCCTTTTTCCACATGTCTCTACCGGCGATCAAATGCTGTCAGCAGGCAGTACCTGTTAAAATACTGTCTGTAGCTGTTCTTTAAAGTCTCAACCAGTCCTTCCTGAATTTTAAGGTTAAAATTTCAGATTATTCCCGTCTAAAATGACTTATTTTGTGGCAATCTTGCTCAAAATGTGTGACTATTTCCTGCATGTCTTGTGGTGTTTGGCCAAACAAATAAATGATTTGTGCACATGTTCCTATTTTACTTTGTAACCTCAGATAGGCAAGGCAAGGCAAGTTTATTTATATAGCACATTTCATACACAATGGCAATTCAAAGTGCTTTACATAAACAAGAATAAAAGAAACAAGTAAAATAAAAATAAAAACAAATAATAAAAATGCGTAAAAACAAAACAAAACATACCCCTGTTCACTGTAATTTAATACTTTAATACACTGTAATTTAACACTTTAAAAATGATTTAATACTCTAATTTTAAATTATTTAAAGCATACTATATCATATCGTCACCTTAGAATTATAAGGTTCTATCTGACATTTTTGTCAAAATTGAGTTATTCACATTTTCTTTTTAAATGGCAACTTATTTACATTATGGGATGTGTTTTTATACATTGTTTACATTTTAAGGCTTTTTATTTAAAAAAACAAAAAAGGTGTATCTACAAAGTTGAACTCTAGCTTGGCTCTATAAGGTTCTATCTGTGAGCCAATCAGCATTTTTAATGCATGCATGAGGACCAATTAGGATCAGCTTTCTTTGTCATTTCACGGACTGCTCCATTGACAGCAGGAAACACCAGAAAGAAAAAAAAAACACACAAAATCAGAGTCGACTAAATAATGCCACACCACACAAAATTGAAATGTGTGTAAATGTAATGATTTATAAACACTAAGATTCATTCATTCATTTTCTTTTCGACTCAGTCCCTTTATTAATCTTGGGTGGCCACAGAGGAATGAACCGCCAACTTATCCAGTATATGTTTTACACAGCGAATGCCCTTCCATCTGCAACCCAACACTGGGAAACACCTATACACACTCAATCACACACATACACTATGGCCAATTTTAGCTTATCCAATTCACCTGTACCACATGTCTTTGGACTTGTGGGGGAAACCAGAGCACCCAGAGGAAACCCACGCAAACACGGGGATAACATGCAAACTCCACACAAAAATGCCAACAGACCCAGCCGAGGCTCGAACCAGCAACCTTCTTGATGTGAGGCAATCGTGCTACCCACTGTGCCAACGCGTCGCAAACATTGAGATGAAATGCTCAATTTTATATTGTTGAAAAAGAAATGAATATTTCAAAATTTGTATATTAAATGTAAAATATTTTTATTTGTGTGTATATATAGTCAGTGAAACACTTTTCAGTGTTTATTAAACTCATTTGCTCATAGTCTGTTTCTTTTAAAGTCTATAAGTTTAATATTAAGCCTTGAAGGGCAAATACTTGATTTATTTCATGGGGCCTATAATTCAATAAATATAATTTAATAATTTATTTAAAGCATAAAATTTTATAAATATGAACATAATAATTAGATAAAATTAACATCTGTTCTGGAAAAAAAAATAGTACAGCCTTGTATGCTTCATTTTAAAAGAAAAAAAATATTTATCCTAAAACATTAAATAAATGTTACAGAAAGCAAAATTTTAACTTTCTCAAGCATCAACATGTTGTTACAACACTAAACTATATATATTTTTATTGTATGTCTTGATAAGTAATGCTTCAATGAATGATCTGCCAGATAGAACCCTATAATCAAAAGCGGAAAATGACTTTTCAGAATGAGAACGTTCTATCTGCATTTGCCGTGGTTTATTTACTCCAATTTGCAAAAAAAGATCTGTTACACACATGTTGTCTGCTATATAGAATGCAAAAACTTTGAAGCTCAATATCTCAAAATCATTCAGAACGCAGATAGAACCTTACAATTCTAAGGTGATGATATGTCAAACCACCTTTTTCTGGTGGAGCACCATGGCCTTGTACTTGGAGGTGCTGATTCTGATTCAAGACGGGTCACACTCAGTGCATGCTAAAGGTCCATGTTCAGTGAAGCCAACAGAACAACATCATCTGCAAATAACAGAGAGGAATTCCTGTGGTCTCCGAACCGGACTTCCTCCAGCCTAAGGCTGCGCTTTGAAATTCTGTCCATAAAAATTATGAACAGTATCGGTAATGGGAATTGTTGGTTTGCCAGCTCCAGGTTGGAGGAAAGTCCTTACCCCAGGTGGTGTTCAAGTATGTTGGGGTTTTGTTCACGAGTGAGGGAAGAACGGAATGTGAGATTGACAGGCTGATTGGTGCAGCAGCCGTAGTAATGCAGTTGATGTACCGGTCCGTTGTGGTAAAGAAGGAGCTGAGCTGAAAGGCAAAGTTCTTGATTTACAGGTCAATCTACGTTCCTACTCTCACCTATGGTCATGAGCTTTGGGTCATGGGACCAAAGGACAAGATCTCGGATACAAGTGGCCGAAATAAGTTTCCTTCGCAGGGTGGCAGGGCGCACTCTTATAGATAAGGTGAGGAGCTCTGTCACCTGGGAGGAGCTCAGGGTAGAGACACTGCTCGTCCACATTGAGAGAAGACAGCTGAGGTGGCTATGGCATCTGTTTCCAGTGCCTCCTGGAAGCCTACCGAGTAGGTTAAAGATTAACCCCTTCAGACCTGAATTATGTTCCAAATTTCAGAAAAATGGGATGTCATGTGATGTCTATTTTAATGGACGCAGGGTCTGAAGGGGTTAACATAACAAACATTGTTGATTACAATATTGAATCACTGTAGGTCAAGCAAATTCAGATTTTTGTGTCAATGAATACAGGGAATATGAGTGGGAACCCCCCACAGATCTACTGTTTTAGGTTTGACTATTCCTGGCTGACTTTTTTTTGACTTTTTCATTTGCTTTGTCTCCGTTACAGCATCTTCGTGTTGGATGGGAGCAGCTCCTCACTACAATCGCCCGCACCATTAACGAGATTGAGAACCAGGTTCTGACCCGCGATGCTAAAGGCATTAGCCAGGAACAGCTTCACGAGTACCGCACATCCTTCAATCACTTCGACAAGGTCAGGAACTCATTCACATGTTTGACTGTGTGTATGTGAAATGAACTTAAAGAGTTACTTGATTAAAGACCTGTTCATACCAAGCATGATAACTATAAAGTATAGCTGGGCATAAATACATTTTTTAATCTCGATTAATCTCACTGTACATGAATCTAGATTAAAATGGCTCACTTGAATTCTGTCAAAGGCATTCAGAATATGTGTGCTACCCGAATAATGACTAAAGTCTTTGAGAACGGGTTTCTTAAGCCAGGTGGCGCATTAGACAAGGGGCTCATCTCCTGTTTCCAAAATGCATCACAATCTTCTTGAGAAACTATTCTAATGAAAATAAATGATGTTCAATAAGATGTACTTGTGTTTATTAACTGTTTATTCAGCTAAACATGAATTTTGAACTGTAGGCCAATATAAGCTCCAAACAGTGATTTTTGATCACCTTAATCCGATCTAAAGTGATAACTGAACTAAACAGAAATGGAATTAAGACATGTGGAGTATGCAGATATTAGTGGAGTTATTGAAGTAAACACCGAAATCAAACTATTATTGTCATGTAGGACTTTTCGACATATTTTCCAACAAGATCCACAGACACGGCTCTCAGTAAATGACCACACACACATACACGCACACACAGGAGTTTTTTTCTTTCCATTTTTCGAGCGTTATTAAATTCCACAACACAGGAGTAACTAGTCGTTACTCCTTATTTGCGACTAATACCCCAGTTTGTCATGGGGGCATGAATGAAATGCTTATGAGGTAAAGTGAAACTGCTGAACTGCAGTTTAAGTCACCCAAAATTACAGAAAACTCTTAAATTAAAGTACTTAACGTAAACACTTTAATTATATTATTGTCTATAAAGGCAAATAACTAGATTGCAGATGTCCATGTAAGTGTAGTCAACAGTGTCTTCGAAGTAAGTGAAAGATCCACAAGGTCCTCCTGCTGATTTGATTCAGAAGGGCTCTTTTTTTGTCAGACGGCTCGCCGGTTTGACTTTCATTCACCGTCACTCATATTAAAAAACTCCCGCTCCATTTTATTTGTATATGTTTTACTCGACCGCATTAACTCTACAGGAGCCTGATAGTTAGATGTGGAGCTAACATTAATCAAATTCGCTCTAGTGAACTGCGTCCATGTTAGCACATCACAATTGATCAGAGATGTATAGTAACGAAGTAGAACTACTTCACTACTGTACTTAAGTACTAAAAGGCAGTATCTGTACTTTACTGGAGTATTATTTTTTTCTCCTACTTCCACTTTTACTTAAGTACATATTTTACATGAGTTTAATACTTTTACTCCGATAGATTTTTTATGTGCTGCATCGTTACTCGTTACTAGGGGTGTCAAAATGATTGATATCAGTTCAGTAATAGGTCATACCCGGTTATTACGTGATGACGTCATTTATCTCCTATGCGCGATGTCGCAATACTATGGCGGAGGACGGAGGCGCGAGGGCGAGGCGGCAAAGCGTACCAGCCGCTAGTTTACTATTAGGGAGAAATGTTGTAAAACTTCACCTCTGCCTATCTCTCGCTCTCTCACTTTGGACATTTGACCCGCTGGCCAGTTTGTAAGGTAACTTTTCCTCTCTTCTTAGCTGTTAAAGCTGTGGATCCAGACATGAGCGTGCCTCATGTGCAAGTTTTCTCCACTGTGTCTGTTACCTGTGATAATCGCGTATTCTTCCCGCCATGGGTGAACAGCGCTTATATTTCTAAAGCCCTTTCTGTTGAGGACAAGCAATAACCAATCATAGCCGTGTAAGACCCGCCTGTCATCGCTCAAAAAGCAGGCGGGATAATATTGACATGAGTTTATTAGCTGTAAATGCTTATGCTGTCTTCTGTGCATGAGTTTTGTTTGATACATCCAGGAAAAGTGTTTTCTTTGAGCAGGTCAAATTGAGGGCAAAGTTCGTATATCTGACTGCTGTATTAAAGGACAAAATTTATTACAAAAGCCCCTTTAACTGTCACACCAAGACAAAAGCAATATAATTTTTTTTGATTGCATTTCTTAACTCCTAATGTCGCTATTTAACACAATCCGTGCATTTTTATTTAACACATCACATTATTTCTAAAATATCAGCCTCTACCAAATGGTTGAGATGTTGGTTTATGGTAAAAGTACCAGGATTAATAAATATACTACAGAAAATATGAACTGTAAGACCAATTTCATTAAAAACATAATAAAAATAAATAAAAATTATTACTAAATTATAGCCATAAGCCACAAAATATTTCAGATTTTCATTTAACAGAGTAATATACACATTTTCCTGTTTTTTTACAATAAAATCAAAATCACGTGAATTTCTGAAGCAGGATTTAGTTTGCTTGTTTAGTTTAAAGCTTTTTATTTTAAAGCAATCAAACTTCAAAACTCCCAAAGTGTGAGTGTGTCATTGTGTGTGTGTGAGTGAGAGTGAATAATGTGTAAGAGAAAACAACAGTGTGATTGTACCTGTGTGTGTGTGTGTGTGTGTGTGTGTGTGTGTGTGTGTGTGTGTGTGTGTGTGTGTGTGTGTGTGTGTGTGTGTGTGTGTGTGTGTGTGTGTAAGAGAGAGTGTAAAAACAATTGCAACCTATATAATGTCCCCACAATTCACAAAAATGTGTGTGTGTGTGAGAGAGAGAAAGAGAGAGAACTGTGTGTGTGAGAGTGGGGAGAGAGTATACATTTAGGTGTGTGCAGGGCAGTGTGTGTGTGTGTGTGAGAGAGAGAGAGAATGTATGTGAGTGAACATGCTGAATTATCTCATCAGTGAAGGCATTTTCTGGTTAAAGGGCCTGACGATGTGAGCTCTTGTACCATAGAAACTATTTACAGAGAAAAACAGTATGATAAGCCATGTTTCTTGTCGTTCTGCTTAATCAAGTACCCCAAAAAGATATTTAAAATAAACAAAACAATTAGTGTATTTTGACTGCTTTCTTTAATAACTACATTACACAATACTTGTACTTTTACTTTCAGTACTTGAGTAGTAAATTTTAAAATAAACTACTTGTAATACTTAAGTACAAAAAATGTTGAATACTTTTGTACTTCCACTTAAGTATGGTGCTTAAAGAGCACTTCTACTTCTACTCAAGTCAATTTTTGATAAAGCACTTGTACTTTTACTTAAGTATGGGTCTCTAGTACTTTATACATCTCTGCAATTGATGTGGTAATTTCACAGCAAGAATACACTCCGGTTCGAAGACTCGTTGTCGCCACCTACAGTGCAGTTCGGCCAGGTATACATCTGCGCTAAAATACCAAGGTGAAAGTCATCATAGCTTGCGTAGAACAGACCCAGCCCCCAACCCAACTATGAGAATAGATTAACGGTGATATATATTTTTTATCCCCCTATAAGAGTCTCACAGCACGTTACCGCTGATAACAGCCACTACTATAAAGATAATGATAAATACATTGTTTTACAAAAAAAAAAATTTTAATAAAAAGTTCAGTGATAAACAATAAAGATATAGAAAAACAATATAGTTAATATCACTTTCAGAATACTGTTTTTCCAATCTAATAAAGTATGAAACACTGACAGGCAGTCAGAATCCATTGAAATATATAGTAGGACTTTAAAGCTACAAATGAAATTCTGGAAAAGCTCACTGTATGATGTTAAGCTCACTTTCCAAAGATCATTTAAAGATGATTACTATCTAACTTGATAAATACTATCTAACTAATTGGTTACACCATGGGACAGAATGTTGAAAATACATAGAAGTGCTAGGAAAATGCTAGGAAAAATATGTTAAATGGTTTTATTCCACTACACACACTATGATCGCTGAGTTTGCTTTATTATATTAATGCATTTTTAAATGGATGTTCATGGATCAGATGCACTAGTTGCACATGCAGGACATCTGCTGCATACAACGGGGTCAAGCTGAATAAAAACTGTTTATATTTATGAACTATATTTATAATGCTTGGTGTGAGCAGATCTTAAGGTTAAATGCAAAGTGTTTTAAAGACCAGGGTTGGCAGTTTAGAAAAATGGTTCACTCGCATATGAAAAAATAAGCATTGGGGTATTGAATGAAAGCTGGTGTGTCAGGACTGCACTTGTGTACAAAATGTTTAATATGTGCCATTTGAAAATGAAAATTAAGCGCCAAACATTGTTTTCTATGAAGCAAAGGAAGTCAAGTTAAACTATGATAGTAATGATTGTGAACTATTGCTTAGGGTTTGTATGTTATGTTATAAAAAGTATTGCGTTTGCATACCTGTCAACATTGGGATGTGAAAATAAGGGATATGAGGATATGACCATAGTAAGGGATTCCCCCGACAACACCCTCCTTTAAAAAAATCCCCAAATTACTAAATATGCTCATTTGGAGCTGTTTTGTTGTAAATAAACATTTAAATGGTCAGTAATGTTTTATTATTATTATTATCATTTACAAAAGAAAAAATAAATAGTGTACATTTGCAGCAAATACATTAGCAAACAGTTCAGGTTATAATAAAATTAGCTATTATAAAGAAATAGAATCAAGTTATCAAATCTCGTTTGCCATTTCTACTCTGTATAACTTCCACATTCTGATTAAAAAGCAACCAATGAATGACTTATTTATTTAGATTTTTTGTTTGTTTGATTACATTAAATAACAGGTGTCACTTTAAAAGTGCACACATCTAACATTACAATAAAAGCATTCGATTGTTTTCCTAACTTTTTAGTGCGACATTTAGGATGAAATTAGTTGTCTGGAGGAAATAAAACCCCAACAAGTTCGACATCTTTAGATATTATTATTATTATTATTATTAAAAATGTGTATATCTGTTTAAACACACACTCAAAACACAGACTTTGAGTATAGGGAGACTCGGCTCTTTAATGTTTATTTCCCCCCCTTCAGAGAAAGACTGAAAAAACAGGAGAAATATGGGAAAATACCTTTACAGGATGATAGCGGGACAGAACTGTAAAATACAGGAGTATCCCGGGGAAAAACGGGAGGGTTGACGGGTATGAGTTTGGTACAGAAATGTAAAAAAAACATCCAACGTTCATCGATGACCTTCACAGCCAATCACAGTCATTTCTGTTGAGCATATAAACACAATAACCAATCAGTGGTGTTAAAGTGCTCAAATGTTAGTGGGAAATAGACGTTTTTAAAATTCAGTAATAAATCAGTACTTTTGACGACCCTAATATACATCTAAGTCAGCAGCACCATGCTATTAAAAATACACAGGCCATAGCAGAGCAATAAATATATCCATATTAAGAAGAACATGGAGGATTTAGTCTATGCAGCTCATGTCAGGCTGAATGACAGTTTAATTTGAGGCGTAATAAAAATAGACCTCAGTTTAAAGTTTTGCTTGCTCTTGTTTTAATATTTGCCCCGTTTTCTCCATTTACGCTGGCACTAATGGAAAGGAAAACATCTGAAATATACTGTGCGTCAAATATCTCTGAGCTGAAGTGTGCCACCTGTTGCCAGTATGTAAATATAGTCTAGTGGGGAAGTTATGAGGGAGGTATTATGCTCTGATAGACTAGATATATCAATGCAATCACCAATTAGTAATTTGTTAATTTAGTGGCTAGTTATTATTCATATTTTGGTATGATTTGCTCATCACCCTATGAGGGTTGGGGTTTGGGTTCATGTCAAGTTTTCATATGAAAGTCAGTTTCTGACAATATGTAAAACAGTATCATTTCATTGTGAGATCAGGCTGGATGTATTGCTGTCATAATAGCTGTCTCATATTATGAGTTGAGTGTCTAAGCAGTCACTGTGTCACAGCTACTGTTCATTAGTTGATTGTCCTCAGCCCATGTGTCTGACGTTCACAATGTTTTGTCTCCATTTTCTTTGCTCATGCCACTGCCTTCATCCCACACATGCTGTGTCATTGTGTCTCGATCCCATCAATCTCCATCTGCATGCTTTGATTGGTCCATCCCCTGTCGGCCTCTTGTTGTGATTGGCTGACCACAGGATCACAGTGGTCTCCTGCAGTCTGAGGAGTTCAAGGCTTGCTTGATCAGTCTGGGTTACGACGTTGAAAATGACAAGCAGGTATGAGTGCAGACAGAGGATAAATGGCTGCCATCTTTGTGTGTGTGTGTGTGTGTGTGTGTGTGTGTGTGTGTGTGTGTGTGCAGGTTTATGTGGTTTACGAACATATTTGTATAAGACAGGGTGTCTTCAGGGCCTTAAAATGTCTTAAATTTCAGTTTTAGGCCAAAAAAAAACTGTTTTAGGCCTTAAAAAGTCTTAAATTCACTGAAATATTATTTTGTAGGTCCTAAATTATATTAATTGGGTCTTAATTTGCCTACAGTATGTCCATTTAAAGATACCCAATAGGTTTTATTGGAAAGAGATACAAAAAAATACAAAATATACACATACAAAGGCAAAAAATAGGTTTTATTGCAAAGACATGGAATTCACAACATCCGTTAGACATTTTTTCTGCAATTTCTCCAAATTGAATTTCCTTATTAAAAATAATTACACAATTCCTCATTATTATAACAGGGCAATGTATTTTTTTACGTTATCTTAAATTTATACAAATGCCTTGCATTTATAAAGGTGGCACAGACATAATATATTTATAAATAGCCATAAAAGTAAAGGTTTATATATATATATATATATATATATATATATATATATATATATATATATATATATATTCAATCCATTTGGACCAAATGTCAACAAATATGTCTTAACAATGTTAAACATGTAAATTATTATGTTGAAAATAAGTGTTTCTATACGACTAGAATTTGCTTGCTTTGACGCATTATTTAAAATGTGATAGAATAATATAATACAGTCTTAAAGTCTCAAATAAAACCTGCAGAAACCCTGGTAGTGAAATGGGTATGACCTAGTCTATCAAGGTGGTTTACGAGAACATGCATTGTGTCCTCAAAATTCAAAATGTTTAAATCATACTTGTTTTTTTTTAAGATTCAAAATTTGCCACTGTTTTCCTGTGATGGTTGGCTTTAGGGTTAGAGGTAAAAGCCATAAAACAAGTGGTGTTTAGAGTGTAAAATGCATTACGCCTTTAAAGTCAAAATATATACAAGTCTTTGTAAACTATATAAGTGTGTTTGTGCAAGTTTATGTGGTTTACGAACAAAATTGTGTAATAACATGGATTAATCATGCTTGTTTTTTGACATTCAAAATCTGCTACTAGCTTCCTCTGAGGGTTGGGTTTTGGGATAGAGGTAGAGTAAGGCCATATAATAAGTGGTTTACGCCTTTGTAGTAAAATAATATACCTTGTCCTTGCAAACCATATAAACGTGTGTGTGTGTGTGTGTGTGTGTGTGTGTGTGTGTGTGTGTGTGTGTGTGTGTGCGCGCGCTGCGTCACTCATTCACTTCATCACTCACTCACTCCCTCACTCACCTGTTGTGCTGCTGCTGCTTGAAATGGTGCCCTCTGCAGGTCAGCTGAGGTTTTTGCTTTGATTTTGTTTTTACTGTTTCTCATTGCTTCCTCTTTCTTTCCTTTTTTTTTTTTGTCCTCACCATAATTTCCCTTCTTCTCTTACACATTCCTCCAACTCCCTTACTTTATTCTCTTCTTTTTGAAACTATCTATTTAACTTCCCAATTCTCTGCTTTCTACATGCATCCCTTTTGTTCCTTTTCTCATCCTTCCCCTTCGCAAACTGTAGAAGCGCACGGGGATAATGGACAGCGATGATTTCCGTGCTCTGCTCATTTCCACTGGGAACAGCCTGGTACTGCTACCTCCTTTCTCAATCTACTGCGACAGTTTCTCCTCAACTCCTGCTTTCGCTTACTATTAAGAAAACATGTCTGATGTAATTTGTTACTGTGTCTATTTTGTAATTTCTGTTAGGGCTGCACAATAAAATTTAAAAAATATGATATTGCGATATTGAAATTTTCTGTGATATACACACACCGGCCACTTTATTAGGTACACCTTACTAGTACCTGGTTGGACCACTTTTGCCTTCAGACCTGCCTTAATCTTTTGTGGCATAGATTCAACAAGGTACTGGAAATATTCCTCAGAGATTTTGCTCCATATTGACATGAAAGCATCAAGCAGTTGCTGCAGATTTGTCGGCTGCACATCCATGCACATTGTAACGAGTGCTTCTTTGAGTTACTGTTGCCTTTCTATCAGCTGAAACCAGTCTGGCCATTCTCCTCTGACCACTGGCATCAACAAGGCATGTGTGCCCTCAGAACTGCCGCTCACTGGATATTTTCTCTTTCAGACCATTCTCTGTAAACCTAGAGATTGTTGTACGTGAAAATCCCAGTAGATCAGCAGTTTCTGAAATACTCAGTCCAGTCCGTCTGGCACCAACAACCATGCCATGTACAAAGTCACTTAAATCACTTTTCTTCCCCATTCTGATGCTCGGTTTGAACTGCAGCAGATCCTCTTGACCATGTCTACATGCCTAAATGCATTGAGTTGCTGCCATGTGATTGGCTGATTAGAAGTATTGAAGTTTGCATTAACAAGCAGTTAACCAGGTGTACCTAATATAGTGGCCGGTGAGGGTATATTGCAATATTGAATAAAATTTCACCTGATAAAGTGAATAAGCTCTATTTTGAAAGAATTCATAATTGTGCATTACATTACGATGACTTTTCAGAGTGCTGTACATACAATATAATAAGCCAATCACAAGCATTGACAAAAAAAAATAGAGCAAAGTGAGTCTAGCAGTTTTTAGGTACACAAATTAAATAACCAAATGTCAAATAACTTTTTTTCTAATCTTTAGAATTACAATTTACAAACATTATAATGTATTGTGCATGAATCGCACACCTTAAAAACACATGCAGATTATATAATGTTTGTAACTTTATGGTTAAACTTTGCAATGGCTCCACAAAGCCCTCATTTTTGACTCCTCTATAAACCTGGCCTCAATAATCCTGCAGTGTTGACTATTGAGGATACACACATTGTGATATCGATGCTGAAATGATATATTGTGCAGCCCTAATTTCTGTAAAATAAAAGATTACTAAATTGATTATAATAAACATTCGTCAAAATAGATTTAATATTTGATGCAAATGGAAATGGGAATGTATGCAGATGTAAAGTCAGCTTTGACCACAATGGCTCAGTTCATACCTGGTATTAAGATGCATCTCTACTCTTGCTTGAATGTAAAGCGCTCAATATTTTTTGTAATATTAGAACAGAAGGTCAGAAAACGCCCACGTTTAGGCTTGCTTCACAAAGAAATCAGGACAATGGTTGAAAGTGGACAAAAGATGTGAAATAAAACACTTGATGTAAACCAATTCTCCCTCATATGCATGTGTTCTGATCTACAATGGTGGAAAAACAACTGAATCATGCTCGAGTAAAAGCACTATTACTTGCCAAGAAAATAGTGGAGGTAAAGTAAAAGTTTCTGTGGTAAAAACTACTCAATTTCTGGAGTGGTGAGTTTTACGCTGTGAAACTTATTACACCTTACAACATGCTAATTAGATATGTCATACAAAAAGTTTCATTATTTGCCATTCATGCAGCATGAATGTAAATTTTGAGATTAATTTCACATGAGAATACATCACATTAATATATACAGTATGTACCTATAATAAGCCAATAGAAAGCAGGTTAAAGTTTTTACATGCTGAGTGAAATATGTAACCTAAGGGGCAAAAATCTAACTGTCAATATGTTAACGCTTGGGTTATGCACTTTGAACCCTGACTAACAATCTACAAGTGTCTGAAAAACAAGCTAGTGCAGCACTGATAGGATGCATGCAATTTGTGCATGTGTTTGAAAACGTAACATTCTGTAGTGCATTTAGTTATTATTTAAAGTCATACAGTAGCCATCTAAAAAGTCTATCAGTCATTGTGTTTTACGATTTTGCTAGAGCAGCACTAATTGGACATGTTCAATTTGTGAATGTGTTTGAAAACATAACATTCTGTAGTACATTCAGGTATTGTTTACTGTCGTCAGTAGCCATCTAAAAAGCCTATCAGTCTTTGTGTTAAATGATTTTGCTAGAGCAGCACTAATTGGACATGTTCAATTTGTGAATGTGTTTGAAAACATAACATTCTGTAGTACATTCAGGTATTGTTTACTGTCGTCAGTAGCCATCTAAAAAGCCTATCAGTCTTTGTGTTAAATGATTTTGCTAGTGCAGCACTAATAGGGTATGCAATTTGTGCATGTGTTGTAAACTTAACATTCTGTAGTGCATTTAGTTATTGTTTAGACCAAAGTCAGCTACAGCAGCCATCTAAAAGGTCTGTCATCATATTTTGTTTAACGTTTTTGCTAGCGCAGCACTCATAAGACGCATGCAATTTGTGCATGTGTTTGAAAACGTAACATTCTGTACTGCCTTTAGTTATTGTTTGAGACCAAGGTCATCATACATTAGCTATCTAAAAATCTTATCAGTTATTGGGTTTAACGATTTTGCTAGCGCAGCACTAATAGGACAAATTCAATATGTGTTTGAAAACGTAACATTCTGTAGTGCATTTTGTTATTATTTAACAGTCATTGCGGTTAACGATTTTACATATTCTTGGACACTTAATGTCTGATGCAAATTTTCAATGCACAATTTGATTGGACAAGAATCACTGGACTGATGATTCTACTAAACCAATCATCGTAGACAAGAAAATATAAACGTGTTGACTTCAGGTTGGAAAGTAGCACAGTAAAAGTATCTATACTTTTACTGCGCTATTTTTCAACCTAAAGTCAACACTTTTAAAAAAAAAATTTCTTGTCTACGATGGTTGGCTAAGTAAAATGATCAGTCCCGTGATTCTTGTTCTATCATATGCATACAATCCATTAAAACTACTCAATTAAAAGTACATCATTCACTATTTAAGTGTTTTGTTACTTGACACCACTGCTGATCAACCAAAACATGTCTTAAAACCAGGTATAAACAAGGCCACTAAAAAATCTGTTAAATTACGTTTTCTTGCAACCAACTACTCATTTTCATTTAATTCACATTAAATATTATGCATTGTAACTATTTATTGCCAAGATACTCCTCCTGGTTTATCTAGGTTAACCTTTAGCCTCTGTTCCTCAGGGTGATGCTGAATTCGCTCGTATCATGGGCATTGTTGACCCCAATAACAGTGGAGCAGTTACCTTCCAGGCCTTCATCGACTTCATGTCAAGGGAAACGACCGACACAGACACTGCAGACCAGGTCATCGCCTCATTTAAGATCCTGGCTGGAGACAAGGTGAGATTTTCAAGATGTCCATTAAAGATTTTCTTTGAGTGCCTCTCAATCAGTTCTCTAATTTGAGTGGAGAAGCTTGGTTTACACCACATAAGTGTAAAATGAGAATGTGCTTGTTAACAGCAGAACTAATATTTTAATATATATCTAATAATTTAGGGCATTTTTTAAAGTACAATTTATTAAGTAATTTGAGCAGCAACGTTTCTACTTCAACTAATAAACAATTATAAATATTTGCTAGATTGTTCTTAACCTGTCTAGCCATGTAAGTTCATGTTAAAAAAAGTCTCATTTGACATGGACACTAGAGTGTTTTAAAGCTGCGTCTATCAGCTTTTCTGTCTATGAGGTGACATATGAGTGATCTGCTGATGAATTGACTGATCTTTGCGGCTTTGAAGTGCTCCGGTGTCCGTCAATCTGTGTTTACACTGTAAACAGTGTTTAACTGATGACCTTCATGGCCAGTCACAGTCATTCATTCTGTTGAGCATGTGAACACAATGGCAAATCAGCCCTGTTTAAAAATGAGCTTAAATCTTAGCAAAAAATGGACTATTCTAAAGTTCCAATTCCGATTGGTACCGAAATTCCAGTATCGTGACAACACTAATGTAAACATAGTCCATGTACCGGACTTACTTTTTACTAATTGTCCACCTATTCTTCCTTTCAGAACTACATCACAGCCGAGGAGCTGAGGCGTGAGCTTCCTCCAGATCAGGCAGAGTACTGCATCGCCCGAATGGCGCCGTACTCTGGGCCGGATGCAGTGGCTGGCGCTCTTGACTACATGTCCTTCTCCACCGCCCTGTACGGGGAGAGCGACCTCTAAGGGCCAACTCCAGAACTCCACAGCAGCTCTCTCTCTCCAACATCAGTGCTGATCTTCTCACAGACTAGATAGATGAGAGCGCCGGATGGGAGTCGCATCTGATTTCTCTCAACCATCCAGTCCTGAAAGAGATCAGTGCTTCTGAGGAAGAGGAAGATATATTTAAGAGTGTTGAAAATGGGACTTCATAGCACATCTGAAGGGGGGGAGTGATAGACGTTTGGGGAAAAGGGGGTTCAACCATGGCATTGTGGGAAGAGCGAATAACTGTTGATGAAGCTTGCCACGCATTGAGGGATTTCGGTGTAAAAACATGTCAGTCTTGGAGAGCTTAAGATGTAGGATTGAAGGAAAGAGAGGTTTAAGATGCAGGTTCTCAGTGTTGAGGGAAAAGAGAGGGGGGGAGGTTGTGTGTGTGTGTTTGTGTGGCTTTGGACTGTAGCCACAGCTCAGGTTCTTTAAGCTTCTTCCGTATCATATGATGCATACCATAAAAGGACTTGTTTCCCCAAACTTTCAAGTGATTTCACACCAGCAGTAATCTTGATGTTAATAAAATTAGTAAAGATCTTCATTAAATCTTACTTGTTTGTTCTCGGATGGAGTTTGAAGAATCAGTTTTGGCTTCAGTCTGTGCCTAGACACTTAACCTGCACCCTCTACCCTGGTGGGGAGGGCACAAGCTTTTTCCAGTTAACAGGCTATTTTCTTTGTTTTAATTTTGATGTTTTCTTGCTAGAGTTGGTGGGGTGGGAGATTTTGGTTTTGGGGTTGGCATATGTTATTTGGCATAGTTGTATGTCGTAGGAAAATGGACGGAATGGCTCTACAAGTGATAGGGAATTTGTGACATGCCCTCTTAACCCATTTTGCTGGATCAGTGGAACTCTTTGGAAAAAAAATCTAACCTCAGCCTTTTCCTTCTTTCATTTCTGTCCTCTCCAGCAATTTCGAGTTAGCGGGATTCTACGCTGTACATACTTCTTTTCCAGTACACAGAACTGTTGGACTACGCATGGCGGTCATGCAGGGCTTCGGGTCGTAAGGTTTAAGATAAAAACGAGCAGTTTCACCCCTGCGGAGTACTGTAGACAGGATTGAGTAGCTACGGGTCTGTGTTTTATTTGTGAGGGCTTGAAGAATAAAGCTACAAAAAAATAAATACCCAGTCAGTTTTCTTTCCTTCTCCAATCAACCGGCGTTCTCTTGTTGACTCCCTGACTTATCCCTTAAGGATTTCTTAAATGTAACCAATGTCCATCTGGCATCCATCTCTAATGGTTTCTCAGATATTACTGAATGTCCATGTAAGAGCTTCAGTGGGGATGTGAGCAGCATAGCCTTGTAGTGACCCCTCCACTTGAGCTACATACACACAGCTGCTGAATCAACAGTAGAAAAGAGGATTTTATATAGTCAGACAGAAGTACTAATGTGCCTGGTAGTCGCAGGTTGCTCTCTCTCCCACTCATTTTTTTCTTTCCTTTTGTTGTACACTCGTTTTTTTGTTTTTTTTCCTCTTTCTACAGGGAGGGGCAGGGACCCAATGTACAGCTCTGGAGGTTGAGGGGAAGGAGTGGGAGAGCTGAAGTCTTAATGAACATTCCATTATGTCTTAATTAAAATTAAATTACTGTTTAACGAATCTATGCAATCATGTATCCAGTACCAACCATGCTCTGTAATGAATGGCGGGGGTGATTTGCAATCGAAAGTGTTGAATTCAAGTGAGAACAAAAAAATTAAGGGTAGACGGGGGAATTGGGCTGGCAGGTGGGCTTCCGAAGATTTGAACAGACTTGGACAAGAAGCCTGCTCTTACGTCTGCAAAGTTGAATAAAAGCATTTGGAATTCTGAATTTTTTTTCTTTTGTACTCTTTAATATCAAACGTTATCTGCTGTACTGGAAATTTGCTAAACTGCTTTCTGTCTAAGATGAAAAGTGAATTTCACATGCACACATAAAGTTTCCTTATAAAATATTACCACTTTGAATTATTTGTCTGTCTCCCTGCTTGCTTGAGATTTTATTTCACTCAGACCCAACTTGACTTAATTGAAAAAAAAAAAAGGTTGATAAATGACTGCGTCTTGTTTTGGTTTCAGTATAAGGGCCTACTCACACTATGCCATCCGTACCGTGCCCAGGCCGGTTTCCCGGATCGTTTGAGAAGTGTGAGTGCGCTGAATCGGGCTCAAGCACGGTTCACTTGGCCGGCCCTGGCCCGGTTGGAAGAGGTGTGCCTGAGCGCGGTTCACTTGGGCTTTGGCGCGGTACGCTTGTGTGTGAGTGCAAAACGCACCAAAGCCCGAAACTGAAAGTGAGACGTGACTTTTAAGGGACTATTTCATATGGATTTATTAATCATTCTTACTGTTAAATGAACGAAAACTGCCGTAGTTTATTAAAGACGCAAACTCCACTTCACGACAGCTGGGCGCCTTCAGCAGACCTCCTCATTCCTGCAGCACGATAGCTTTATGATTGTTTATGAGCGCCAAAAGTGCCGGATCTGTTCGGCGAAATATCTGACTGCGTGTCCCCGCATCTCTAAGGACTGTTTGGCGAAATATTTGACGGCATATCAAACGACTGAAACGATATAACTAGAGAAATCTCCACTGTGCTGCTGAGTGAGAGTGCTTCTCACTGAACATCCCAGCAGCGGTGACGTAAGCGTGCCAAAGCCCGTTTGTCGTGTGAGCGCGGGCCGTTGGGGGAGACGGGAGGGGGGACAAGCGTGCTTTGGCCCGGTTCGAGGCAACAGTACCTAGTGTGAGTACGGCCTAAGTTTTATCAACCAAACAGTGACCAAACATTGCTTAGTAGTACATCTTATTCTCCGTACCTAGATTTGGTGTTATTACTAAAATAAATTTCGTTAAACACTGCTGCAGATGCCTCAAATGTTGGGACTAAAGATGAATTTGATTGCAACTGAAACATGATCTTTATTTATGTATTTTGAATATCAATTTAGTCCATTTTTGTGCTATTACTTTGACTGAGTACTATATAACAGCCGCTCTGTTAAAAAATTAGACTGCTGAAAACTCAAGGACAACAAAAAAAAGGTTAACTTACCATCCTCCTAGTCCTGAGGAGGAGTTGCTGTTTAAAATATGCAGTACAGTTGACAGTACAGTTTAGCCTGTAAAACAGCAGGAATTAAATATTATAACGTTTCTAATGGATGTAGCTTGTTATTTCTCTCAAAACCGTTAAATTTTACGGTCTGTCAGTTGATTACTGTTGAAAAATGTGAACGCTGGAAACTTACAACCTGAGTGAGCACGGGCTTTTAATTTTCTGTTGTGATTAAGCCCTGGCTGTTCAACCAAAGACGTGTGCTTTGAGGTCTTGTTCTGGCTTAAGTATAAGTTTTATCAACCACACACTGACAAAACATTGCTTAGCAGTAGATCTTTTTCTCCATACTTAGATTTGGTGTTATTACTAAAACATTTTCTCAAACACTGCTGCAGATGCCTCAAATGTAGTGGCTGAAGATAAATTTGATGGTAATGAAAACCTGATCTTTATTTTAAATCTCAAATTAGTCAATTTATACTATTACATTGACTGGGTACTATATAACAGCTTCAAAAAGTTGGATAGCTGAAGATTCGAGGGCCACAAAGAAAAGAAAGTTACTTACTATCCTCCTAGTCCTGAGGAGGAGTTCCTTTGTAAAAAAAAAAAAATACATGCAGTGCAGTCGACTGTTTAGCTTGTGAAATAGCAGGAATTGAATATTACAACGTTTCTAATGGACGTAGCTTGTTATTTCTCTCAAAACCGTTTATTTTTATGGTCTGTCAGTTGATCACTGTCGAAAAACGCGAACGTTAAAAACTTACACGACCTGAGTGAGCGCGGGCTTTTAACTCCCTGCCGTTTGAACTTCTTGAGTAGTGACCGTTAAACAGAGGACGCGCGCTTTGTGTTTAAATTCATCAGCAGGCGGGAAAACGCGACTCACCCCAGACCTTGGGCTATTGTGGCGGGAATCATGCTGGCTTTGATGTTCACCTGTGGCTTTCTTCTTATCTACCTGCTGTCAAACTCTGTAAAGATGACCGACGAAAATCGGGTAAAAAAAAGTTCTGATTACATCATGCATGTGTGTATAGTGTGTTGTGAAGTTTTCTGTCAGGTTAATTAAAACACATCTACAGGGGGAAATTCAGATAAACTAAAATATTTGCAGTTTGCTAGTACAGTTGTGATATCATTAGATGTATTAGAAGCTTTATAAAGTCACAGATGATTTATTTAACTTGAAGCATAAACTTAAATAAGTGTCTTTCTGTTCATGTTGTCATATTTTCCTGTCAAGACATGCACCTGTTGACCTGCAAAAATGCCACCTGCAAATGTGAAATAGGAAAGCCAACACAACAAATCTGAAAAGGAGGTTTTGTGAAAATACGATTTAGTTTTTTCCCTTTCATAATTCCCCCACTCTCAAAGTGGTCAAACAGCACCTGTCAGCAAAATGGCACCACATCATCTCTCATTCATTACTACAGCAACCACGAGGCCACTCTGACTGTTTATTTTCATTCGCAGTTATTAAAATTGTTGGACAAGCCTCATGTCCACAGTGCGGCCTTGTTCTCCAACAGAGACGGTGTTGACTTTCTTCGCTCTGGCAGTTTGTTTCTGCACTCTTGGCATGAGCAGGTTTAAGCATAACTGTGTTCATGTTACTTTCAATGTTTCACTGCTGTAGTGCACAGAAATTGGATTGTGGTGTGGAAAGCTTCTATTCACAAAATCTTTGGCAATTACTTTTTCTGTATATACAAAATAGCATTTAAATGTGTGCGTCAACACACATTTAAAATCTGTTCAAATAGTTGGGTTAAAAATACCCCAACATATAACCCAACTATAAGTTATTATAGCACCTTCCCAACTATGGGCTATTTTAACCCAATGCATTGGGTTATTTTGATTAAATGTTTTTTTTTCCATTCTGGTAATACTATTGATAATAATACTGCTATTAACTTTAAAATTATGACCGTGTAAATAAATAAAATACAGTTTTCAAATAATATTGAACATGCTTTATTTCCATTACATTTAATTTCAAAAACTTTTGTTAAAACAAATTAAGAATCACAAACGATGAAGAAGCAGAACAAAGTAGACGGTTATAAACTGTACAAGCAGAAAATCCTCTGTTGATGGAGCAGAATATGGAGCTCTGTGTGCTGCAGAGACCAGCTGCAGCCGGCTTCACTTAGTGTCTACAGTGTACAATACATTTTAACCACATCCAAACGCTTCTGAAGGATGGTCCTGGATGGTGAAACTGATTTAAAAAAAAAAAAAAAAAACACCACATGGAGAGTTAATTTGATAAAAAAAAAAAATAAATAACGTTATTGCGTTATAGCTTACATAAACTTTATAATGTAAAAACAACATTACGCACACATAATAATACAGCTGTTTTGTGTCAGTTAAATCAGTTGACAGTTGAAATTCTACATTTTAACCCAACTGGTTGAGTTATTAAATAAATGACCCAACAAAGCACCCAAATGTTTAACTCAACCATTGGGTTAAATAAATAACTCCACATTTTTTTAGAGTGTATATATTAATATATAATACTATTTTATACTATATTTATTATTCTGACCTGTTCACTGAAAAAAAAAAAAAAAGATTTCTGCAAAATTGTTGCAAACAAGGGATATGAGCTGAAATTAAACTACTTAAATTTAGTAATGTTCAACCTAATTTGTTTGTTTAAACTCAACCCAAGTAAAGTTTACAACCAATTAATTTTGAAAATGTTAGTAAATTGTAGGAATCATCTTAAATAACAAATTTGAATAATTGTTTTCAGTGTATTCAGGCAAGGTTTTTTTTTTTTGCAATATATAGCACATTTTATACAAAATAATAATTCAAAGTGCTTTAAATAAACAGGAGGATTAAAAGAATCATAGAATAAGAGCACAGTAAGTAAGACATAACAAAAAAATGATTAAAAACAGATTTAAAACAGGTTTAAAAGGAATAAAAGATGCTGTGGATTATCATTATACTAACTATTATTATTAACAGTGGTGGAAAGAGTACTGAAAAATTATACTTAAGTAAAAGTACCATTACTTTCTTAAAAATGTAGTGCAAGCAGAGTAAAAGTAACTGTTGTAAATATTACGAGTAACAAGTAGACCTTTTAAAAGTAATCAAGAGTAGTGAGTATTATGCTGTGAAAAGCTGATGCGTTTACATGTAATTTGTGCATGTGTGTGTAAACGTAACATTCTGTAGTTCATTTAGTTATTGCCCTGCAGGCTCACAACATCATAAGATATTAATATTAGGTTAGATTTAGGTCGTTATGTCAGGTGACCAAAATTCAATGTCTAGCCAGCAAATAATGTCTAGGACAACGTTATTTTGATGTTCAATAACGACGTGAAATGACGTTGATCTTTGGTTGATTTTAGGTTGTTAGAAAGTGACCAAAATCCAATATATTAACGTCATATTAACGTCAAATACTGACATTTATTTGTTAAGTATGGCAACCAAAATCTATCGTCTGATAGACTTCATAGTGGTAACGTCCACACAATGTCAAGCTGTAACATCATTAGACGTTGATATTTGGTTGATGATAGGTTTAATTTTGGACATTGACTTCGGCCTGACATTGAGTTCTGACGTCAAAACAGTTTTCATCTCCAAACAAAACACAATGTTCCCACAATGTTGAGGTACAATGTCTATCTGACGTCATGTTGACGTCTTGTGCACGTTGGGTGTTTAAGGCCATTTCTGTCATCGTATATTAAACATCCGTCATCATCTTACAGTGACGTGCATCTAAACAGGGTCAATGCGTGTAAAGGTTTTGGACATCTTCTTGGACACTTTTTATTCTTGCAAACAGTTTGCTGCAGTTATAAATGGCCCATGTCTTGAGGAAGATCATTATGATGCGATTTACATTCTACAGTAT